TCCCATAAAACGATAAGGTTAGCTCTAAAGAATATGCATTAATCTAAAGTTTAAGTCCAAAAGAGATCTTTATTAAGATATAATTAGTTATGGTGCATGTTGCACTAGCTTGATAAATAAAACTTTTCAAGTGATTTTTAAACTTAAGAGGGTCTCAAATAATTGTAGAAGAAATGTTTTAGTACAAAAGTGATATTCATAATTATGCTAATTATAAAGGAATCAAAATTATGAATATACAACAAATCTATGGGAGAAAGCAACAAAAAATTGATATTAAAAGATATATATCACCTCTAAGAATCAATTTATTTTCACCCAAATCAACATTAACAACAACAACATCACGCTTTTATCTTATTATGTGGGGCCGGCTACATGAATCTTTTTTCTTCATTGTGTCATGTTAAGAGTTAAATTTTCATTTAAATCTAATAAAAATATCATCTCTAATATTTACTAAACAAGACTTTTTAGGTCTACCTCTACCTTTCTTAACATAAGTCAAATCTAATATATCTACTTTACTAACCTGGTCATCAGAAGACCTCCGTTTTATGTGACCAAACCATCTAAGACGTCTCTATATAATATTATCTTCCACTGGAGCTACTCCAACATTTTCACGTATATGCTCATTTTGTATCATGTCTCTAATAGTAAAGCCACTTATCCACTTGAGTATCCTCATCTCTGCAACACTTAACTTAATATTATGCTTCTCTTTAAATGGCCAAAATTCTACACCATAAAGCATTGCAAGTCTAACTATCATCTTATAGAATTTTCCCTTAAGTTTGAGTGGAACTTTTTTATCACACAACAAGCCCGATGCATTCCTCCAATTCAACCATCCAACTTGAATTTTACTAATAATAGCCCCATCTATTTCACCATCACTCTGAACAATAGACCAAAGATAACGAAAACGTATACTCTTATTAATGAAGATCACCCAAAATCACATTCCCCCTACTAGATCTATTATTACTAAAATTACACTCAATATATTTAGTTTTAGATCTACTCAAACGAAAGCCTTTAGACTTTAAGGTTGATCTCCATAATTCAAGTTTATCTTTAACTCCCTATTTAGTCTTATCAACAAGAAGAATATCATCAGCAAAAAGCACACACCAAGGTACAACCCCTTGCAAATGTCTAATGAGAACATTTATGACTAAAGCAAAAAAGATATGGGCTTAAGGATGATCCTTGATGTAATCCAACTGAAATAGGAATATTTTTGGTCAAACCACCTTGTGTTTGAACACAAGTAACAACTCTTTCATACATATCATTAATGACTTGAATATAAACATTATTAACCGCTTTCTTTTCTAGAACTCTCCATAGCACTTCTCTTAGAACTTTATCATATGTTTTCTCTAAATCAATAAATATCATATGAAGATCCCCCTTATTCTCTATGTACTTCTCCACCAAACCTCTCAATAAATGTATAGCTTCCATAGTAGACCTACCCGACATGAATCGAAATTGATTTTGAGAAACATTAGTATCACGCCGCAACATATGCTCCATAACTCTCTCCCATAGTTTTAAAGTATGACACATTAACTCAATTCATCTATAATTTGTACAATCTTGTTCATCATATTATTCTTAAAAATATGAATCAATACACTCATTCTCCACTCATCTGACATATTTTATCTTTAAAATAAACTTAAAAAATTTTAGTAAGCCAAGAAATTCATTCATCTTTTAAGCATTTCCACACCTCTTTTGGAATATCATCTGGTCTAACAGTTTTTCCATACTTCATTTTTTTTAAAGCCTCTCTAACTCCAATTTACTAATACGCCAATAAAAAATATATATTTATTTTCATTTAGGGCGCTAAGGTCACTAAAGTCAATTGCAATCTCATAATCTTCATTGAAAATTTTAGAAAAATATCTCATCCATTTTTGTTGAATATCTTCTTCTAATAAAAACAATTTTTGATCTTCATCCTTAATACACTTCACTTGAACTAAATCCTTACTGCTATTATCTTTTTGTTTGGCTAATTGAATAGCACATTAATTGATTTAAAGGAATTAAGGAAAAAATATACTAAACATAAGCACAAGTTCTTAAAAATAAATATGATGAATTATTAATTAATATTAGAAGTAACTATGCAGTGATTAAAGAGTCTCCAATCATATTAAGATCATGATTATCAAAAACAAGCCAAGTGCTCTCCTCAAACACTTCTCGCTTAATTTAAGTTGCTCAAATTTTTGAAAGACCTCTTAAACTAATTTTTGTATCTACACAATTATTTCTAGCACCTAATGACATTATCTGAAAATAAAATATTATTTTATACATTAAATATAACTTAAAATCTGAATTATTCTCCACTTGAAAATACTTCGATCCTCCAAATTACTACATTTTTTTTAAAAGACATGGGGTTTAGCTTCTAATTGATTCTTTGTATCCCATGTTGCTTCCTCGTCATATAAATCTCTTAACATGACCTTCATGATTGGCATGCCTTATCCTCCGAGGTTCTTTCCTTATGAATAAGGATATTACGTGATGTTAGGGCACACAAATTGAGTGGTTCGTGTTGACTTATATGAGTTGGATCTGGAATATTCTTGAAATAGACACAATATGCATTATAAATATCGGCTAGAACTATTAGCCAGATAATAATATATGTTCTTAATCCAATCCTCTTCAAATATTCGAATATATCTCAATTTCATTTTTCCTCGTATCTCAAATCTGTAAACTCCTTTAGTCAATGACACTTTCAAAATGATGTGATTACCTTCCTCGTATATCATTTCACTTTTGATATTTGTAGCTTTTATGCCTGCTTTGAGCTGCTAAGAGCCATTTGTGGATCTGCTTGGCCCCTTCGATTGTTCGATTTACAAGTTTGGCTCCCAATAGTTTTCGTTCATAATATCTTCCCAAACTTCTTATCTAATAAAGCTTTGTAGGGTGCCATCTTTATGCTGGTGTGAAAACTATTATTATAAGCAAAGTGAACCAACATGAGGTATTCAAACTCATCCAAGATTAAGTATTAACTATTTTACCTCCAAAATCCACTAAACATGATCTCAATATGTCTTCTAGGATTTATATGGAAACTACCACTCATTCTTAACAGTTTGACTGATTGCTTGTGATAAGGCATGCTAAATCTTAATTTGATGGCTTCTTGTAAACTATATCAAAATCTAGATGACATCTAGTATCTCTATCTACTATACTGGTTAATGGCACTCCATGTAATCTCATGACTTCCTGCAAGAACATTTGAGTTAGGTTTTCTAATAGATCGGACAATTAAATTAACATGAGTGTTGACTTAATCAGACCATGACTATCAACTATATGATGCCATGATCCTTTTTCATTTTAGGTAATCCACAAACAAAATTTATTAGTGCTGTGCTCCCACTTCCATTCCAAAATCTGTATAAAACTTCATCGGTTTTTTATGTTTGACCTTAAGTTCTTAAAATGTTTTTTATACTTCATTGTGGGCCAACTTTTAGGGTTGTAGTGCGTTGATTAATAGGACACAATGGAGAAAAAAGGATTCATGTAGCCGACCCCACGTAGTGGGATAAAGGCTTGATGTTGTTGTTTTGTTGTTGTATTGTGGGCCAACAAAATCTTTGCTTTAAAAATTTAGTGCGTTGATTCCAACAAGATGTATATTGTATTCCATGGTATAGGATTCCATGGATATTTCATTTCTAATCTCTTGTTATTTGTTATGCACAAACCCTTGTGATACATCAACATTTCATAATCATCAATCTTGAAGTCAAACTTCTCTCCTTTATCTACCTTCTCTATAAGCTTCCTTAGCTCAGAACCTTTAGATTGGGCACTTTCCTTAATGTTAATGTTAGTTATACAGGTATTTTTTTGTTCAAGTAAATCAATTATACAGTTAGCAAATTAAAAGATGGGTGCAATTGTAATCTTAGTCATTCCATTTTCTCTGTATGATTCATCTGATAATAATGAGGCAAACCATATTTGTTCAACTTCTGACTCAAACTTAGTGGTTAAATAGTATTTTGAATAGCGTTTAGCAGTGTTGGTCATAATGTTGATCATGATCTTCTCTATTGGAGTATATCAAAATATCACCACCACCACCACATCATCATATCACATGAATTTGAAGTCAGCTTATAAACCCTCAAGTTCAATTTGTTCATGCTAAATGTTGTCAAAGGTGTTAAAAATATTCTATGTAAATCATTTTTTAACGTTTACACATGTTCCATTAAATCTACCCATTTTCTTTTATAATCCTCGAAAATTAATTTTATTATCCCATTTAATGGGTGAAGGTGTTTTTTCCACTCTTTGTTGTACATATGTAAAATAAATTTATGCACATAAAATTGGCATGAGATAACCCTATCATATGCGAACTTTTAGAACTTGTACCCATATTTACCTTAGATCTAACCCACCTTCCAATAAGAAAATAGCAATTCCTCATTTTATTTTCTCCAAAATTCATGCACCTAAAACTAAAAATGCTTTAACTAAATTTAAAATTTTTTAAGGCACCAAAATACCTCTGCCTTGCATTTCAAATAGCCTACAAAATAAGATGAATAGTTTTGCAAGCGAAACAGAACTAGCACATTTTTCATTGAAATTAGAAAAGCAAAGCATAGAAATTACAAGATTGTTCAAACAGTAAATTAACCTACAAGCATTCTTCCTCACAAAGTCTTTTGTGGCTCTAAGAAAACAGCGGCCTGATTTTCTAAGTAAATCAGCAAGAAATTCAATAATATGAATGATAAAGCAAATATTCAAGGAAGTCCTCTGGCAACTTCTAACTGTATAAGGCTTTGAAATTTTCCACTAAGGTTTATCACAACAACATATTTACCGAAAAATTTACTTTGAGGACAGAAAGTAGATGTACTTTGCACACAGGACTTCAATATAGAAAAATACACTAAAAACATTGCACAAAGAAGGCATACCAAAAAAGAATGAAACTCGTTCTTTAAGTCATTGATACCCCTTAGAATTTCAATCTTTTGCACGTGATTCAGCTTATCAAGGAAGTTCATTTCAGCTCCTTCTTCTAGCTGTAATTTCTCCTCCCTCTTCTGCTTTGCCATTTTCTCATATTCCTCAATGGAGTCCTCCTTGTCAATCAAGCAATGAAGACCTTTCTGAATGTAGAAATTAGTGCAAGTAAAACACCTGCAAAGAAAATCTCTCCATTTCTTTGACAGAAACATAGGTTTTTTTTCCATGTCAAATGCTGCAAGAGATAAATCCAATCCAATAATGCATTTAACATTTGAAGTTAAACTGTTGCAGAATGCTTTCACCTCTCCCAACCCATAATTTTCCAATGAGGTTTCTCCAGGTGTTTGAAGCTTATTATCTGACATCTCTTCGGTCTTGGAATGCACGTTTGAAATATTCATCTGGTGTTTATGATTTTTGGATGAGCCTTCTTGTGATTGAACCTTATTATCTGACATCTCTTCATACTTGGAATGCATGTTTGAAATATTCATATAGTCTCCAGAAACACGGTCGGAATTATCAATGTTTTCTAGATCAGTAAAAGCAGAGGCCCCAGTCTCCAGAACTTTTTCTTTACCGGATAAGACTGGTTCATTCTTATTACTCTCTATAGCCCAAATTGAAGAAGGATACAATTTAAGAAATGAACAAGTGAGTGAACAGTCTTGGCAGATGAAATCCTCATATAAAGGCTCTCCTTCCTCATCTCTGGGTATCTATGATACATGATAAGAGTTAAAATAATTTAAATAACGGCTGGTAGACCATGAAAGGTAGACAATACAAACAAATTAAAATAATCAAGGGTCGTCACACGCTACTGGATATCATAACATGTGATGTAAAAAAGAAAAACATTCCACATGTGATGGCAATTTACTGCAAAGCTCAATAGAGAAGTCTCTCAAGGAATTTTCAAGTGATTAAAAAAATGGTTAACATTAAACAAAAACAATTTAAATGTAATCACCGGATAGTAACTTCAACAACAAGAAAGAAAAGATTATTAAGAAAAAAATTACAACAACAACAACAAGAACAACAAGCCTTTATCCCACTATGTGGAGTCTGCTACATAAACCATTTGTCTCCATTGTACCATATTAAGAGCAAATTATCATTTAAATCTAATAAAAAAATGTCATTTATAATACTTTCTAACTAAGTCTTTTTAACTATATCTTTATCTTTCTTGACATAGATCAAATCCAATACATCTACTCTCGTAACCAAATCATCAAAAGGCAGATGTTTTATGTGACCAAATGATCTAAGACGACTCTCTCTAATCTTATCTACCATTGAAGCTACTCCAACCTTTTTCATGTATATGCTCATTTCACATTTTATTTCTAAGAGTAAAGCCACTCATCTGCCTAGGCATTCTCATCTCTGCAACACTTAACTTAATTTTATGCTTTTCTTTTAATGACCAACATTCTGCGCCATAAAGCATTGCAATTCTCACCACCATATTATAAAGTTTTCCCTTAAATTTGAGAGGTACTTTACTATCATATAATAGGCCCGATGCATTCCTCCACTTCAACTATCTAACTTGGATTATGCTAATAATATCTCCATCTATTTCACCATCACTTTGAATAATAGACCTGACTCCTATGATGTCTAAAACGCGTACTCTTTTTAATGACTTTGTCGCCCAAAGTCACCATCCCCCCACTATATCTATTAATACCAAAATTACATTTCATGTATTTGGTTATAGACCTACTCAAACGAAAACATTCAAACTCTAAGGTTGAACTTCATAATTCAAGTTTTCCTTCAACTCCCTCTCTTATCTTATCAACAAGAAGAATATCATCAGCAAATAGCATATACTAGGGTACATTCTTTTGCAAATGTTTAGTAAGAACATCCATGACTAAAGCAAAAAAATAGATGAATAATGAATTAAAATACCTCTTCTGTGGATACAAGACCAAGGTGATTCTCATGAAACCAGTCTTCACATATGCAGCATTGTATCATCTCAACTTGTTCCTGAGTTTCTGGATCTGGATAAGGGCGCATACATACGCAATAGCGACCTTTAAAATTCTGATTGTAAGCATTATCCACATTTTCAGGTTGCTTATTAGGGAAAAGTTTGCAAGAAAACTCCCCAAATTTTGAATTCCCACAGTCACATCTGAACTTTCTCTTTGTCCATAGCTCCACAACCTAATAAAAACAGCAAAGAGACTTAGACAAAATTCAATCCGCAACCAAAATGCTGCAAAGCAATTGAATAAAGATTCCTCAATAGTTTTCGCATTCAAATAAATAAATAAATAAATAGATCGATCCCATACAAAGGGTGTTTTCCTGATTGTCATTGCTTACCAAAAACTTTCATGGCCTTTAAGAAAAGGTGCTATTTATAGATAGATTATTTCTTGATTTCATATGAACATGCTTTTTCAACACTTGCAAAACAATTTTGCTACAAAAAAAGTGTGTAACTTTATACCGAATACTCCTTATTTAATGTAAATGATACCCGAGTTGTATAAACCCCTCAAAAATATATATTAAATGTATGGATTTGAGATTCTAATATTTCTAAAATAGAATTATAAACTGAAATCATGATCAACAGCTTTCCCAGCAAAGCCTCTGAAGATTAGAAAAAAATTTGAAAGAGATTCATCTTTTTAACATGATAATTCCACCGGCCTAATTCCATGAGAAAAGTGCATGATCAACAAAATTGCTCAAATCTCTAATGGCATTAACCTAGGGTTTGCTCAAGTTTCAATCCAACAGCATTACATAATGTTCAAATTGAATTTAAGCTACAGATTGTGCCAAGGAAAATGCATGCACATAAACAGTTTTACAGTTAATAATGGAAACAGGGATTTCATGGAAAGCCTTGAACTGAAACCAAACATTTTCATCATTAAATTATTCCTTATGAACATAGGTGACGTATCCCATATATGAATAAGAGACACACTCATTGAAGGTATTTGAAAAATAGAATCTTATATAGTTACCTAACGATTCACATTTAATTTTGTCTGTCCCACAAAAAGTGAGTTCTGTATTTGCAGTAACACAACATAGGCTTATATCACACAACAAGTAAACTTCTAAAGAAGTCTCAAGTGATCGCTTACTAAAACAAATGTATATTCATTGCTAAACTGTAGTAGAATATAAGCAAAAATTTTGTCCTAGAAACCATTTGGGTAAAAATCAAAACCAGAAACAATAAGGCAGTCAAATGCCAGTGCTTATCTTCTGCAACATTATATCTGTTTCAATCAATCTCGCCATGCGACAAAGCCAAGCACATCCCGAAGCAAAAAACATGAAGAAAATATTGCAAGACAAAGCCTTCCCTCTTACCTCGTGCCCATCATGGCAAGAGAGGATACAGGCAGTGCACACCCCGGCGTTTCCACTTGGAACACAGGTCAAACAAGAGAAGATCGCCTGCCTCTTCATGTAACCATTATCATATGTGCACTCCTTCCCCTCGTCGCCTCCCAGCACCAAATCCGCCTCCTAGGGTTTCCAACCAGCAAGTTTATCCAATTAATCCCAACAAAAAATAAAACTAAACCAGCAAATATCAAAAACTCCACCACAAACACAATTACAGAACCAACACACGATTTCCACTCACCAGCTCCTCCGCCTCTATTCCCTCAATGTACTCCTCGATCGTCACCGTCTGCTCGATCTCGTCCTCGAAGGTCTCCGCCATCTCGAAAGTAAAACCCTAGCTCCAGGAAAGGGCGAGAAAGCTGAGAGAGAAACCCTATATACCGATAAATGGGTGCGCAGCTGAGGCTGTAGAGGTTCTAGGGCACGGAGAGAACTAGAAATGGAGGAAGGAATTGAATAGAAGAGTGAGTGAGAGAGCGGGACGGAGAGATCACACGAAGGTTTTGGATCAGGGAAGAGGGTCTGGTCTCTGAGGCTCGAGTTCGGTTACTTAAAAAAGAAGAGGCTTTTGTGTCCGAATCTTTTCCCGCCACCCCATTTTTTTTGGGAGCATTTTGAGCGCGTGAGAAAAAATTTTGTGTATTGATAGATTATTAATTTACATAATTCTTTTTGGCTTATTGGTTTAGAGCTTAGGCTTCAACTAAGAGGTCCAGAATTCGTGTCTATGTATATAAGTTGTGTGTGAGTTTGCATGACCTAAATGTCCCAAAAAAAATAGATTATTAATTTCATTTATTGTTTAAATGGGATCAAATCAAAATTATGAGAGGTTTAAGATTTAAGATTATTTTTAAATTAGTTTAAATTGCATAATAATGATATTATATGTATAGTATAAGAGAATTATGTTGTGAAATATAAATTATATGTGAAGAATAACTTCTAAATTCCACTTCGTCCAATAATTCAATGAAAATTTTTAATATTGTTCAAAATGATATAATAACTAAATATTCTCTCAATAAATTTCATTTTATTAAAATGGATTAAGGCTTTATTGGGATGACTTGCTTACTTTTTTGTAAAGCTATATATTTTAGTGCAAAAATTTCTTGAAAACAGAGAAAAATAAGTGATATAAAGCTATCCCAAAAAATCTTTTTGAATAAACTATTTCAAATCTACTCAAAATCTTCATGAAGAAGCATTTTATTAGGTCAACATCAAAACTCACAAAGAAACTACTTCAACTCCACTCCAAAATCTTTAAATGTCATGGTGTTGCTAAAGAGTTTGGGAAATTATAGATGAACACCAAAAAGAGCACACAAGTAACACAACAATTGCCTCTTCATTATCATGGAAATATATTAAAATAATGTTATTTATCTCGCATTTTGTAGTGCTAGATCGCGCCAATCCGCTAGTCTGAGATAGTACCTTGGAGTTGATTTTAGGATGCACTGTCAGATTATGATTAGTATGGCAAAGTAGATCCTAACAACAATTGCTTTTAAGGGGTTAAACTTAAATTAATAAATATTTTCTAACTACCCTATTTTTTTTAAAAAGAATTTAAAATGAAAATCTAAAATTCTATTTGAACTTACTACCTACGACGTTGGCCTGTGGGCGGAGCGGCACTAGAATTCGCTGCTACATCTTTTAATTATCTATTCTATAATAATTTTGGATTCAGCATACAATACTACAACGTTAAATGGTGGTGTTTCGATGCTACATATTAATATATATATATATATATATATATATAATGTAAATGGATCAAGCTTATGCAACCACATAATCTAACATACCAATCATAAAAATGCACTATTTAAATCGTGTAGGTGCATTATGTAAACGTATCAACAAAAGGATCATGCATATCATGCAAATACATTAATTATCATGTAAATGCATTATGCTTGTCATACAAATTCACTGTGCGTCATATATGCATATGTATCATATGAATCCTCTAAGTGCATTATGTCAATCATGCAAATACATCATGTCAATCATACAACAATCATATAAATGTATAATGCATCATGCAAATCATATAAATGCATTGCTCAAATCATGAAGTGCGCAATTATACAATCATACAAACAACATCAAATAACAATACAAATGCACATACAAATGTGTAACTGAGAAAATGCACCAAAGAGCGTATGACACAAGCATGACGTCCAAGAATGTTGCATGGGCTATAAAAAAGATAAGTAAATTCTAGGAATATTGAAACGTGCACATCCTACTTGGAAATGAAATATGAAATATCCGCATAGGTCTGAACGAGCGTGACATATGTATGCACTTAACGTATGAGGATCCTGGGCGGACTAATAAAAATAATAATTTAGTTTTAAATCTATCACTTTGAAAAGTGTACAAACATATCATACGAATACAGTAACATGCATAATGCCATCTAAAACTAATTTTAAAAAACCTACATGAGCCACGACAGACGTAACATGTGTATGCACATAACATCTAAGAATGTTGCGTAGATTAATAAAATAAATTAATTAATTTTAAATCTACGCTTTGAAAAGTGTACAAACATATTGTGCGAATACGCTAATATGCATAATGCCATTTAAAATGAAAATTTGAAATCTCCGCATAAGCCCCGACAAGTGTAGTAAATATGCAAGTGTGATCTTTGATGATGTTGCGCGGACTCATAAGTGATGAGTTTTAAAGCGTGAAAATATACATCATGCAAGTACACAAAATGGCACTCGCATTATTTAAAATGAAACTTAAATGACCCGCATGTGCTCCGAGAAGTGTGTTACGCTCCTAAACCCTTGCTTGAAAAAGTTGTGCAAGTCAAAAGTGAACTTAAGTTTAAGTTTGATCCTCCTTTTTTAATAGACCGGAGTTAACACGACTTGAATCACTAAACAAATGCACGGTCGTAATGTCGACTTGAGTATTTGATTTTATACGTTCATATTACGCCTTCAAAGCCTCATATAAAAAATGTTCACTATTAAAAACATATTATCCGGATTAACACTCGTTGAATTAACTAGAGTATTTGACTTTATACATTCACATTAGGCCTTCAAAGTCAATTATAAGAAACGTTGACTACTAAAAACATACACTTTCAAGATTGTCGCTCATTATATCAACCGAGATATTTGATTTCATACGCTCACATTATACCTTCAGGGTCTGTTATAAAGAAAATCCACTCATCAAAATACACACTCTCAGTTCTGATAACTATACGCCAACTCCAAAAATTAGGAGTTAAACTCAATCCTCTATTGGCAAGCTAATCTCAACCGGATGAGATCATGCTTTTTTAAATGCCTCCAAAATTGTAATAAATACAAATATTTGAAATAACATTAACATCACCCTAATAATTACCATGTTAAAAGTTAATATCAACCAAAGGGGTCTCTATGTTTTAAATACCCCAAAATCTCAAAACTATTCATGAAGTGGTACTAATTCTAATAAAAATTCAAAACTAAAAATCCCTAAAATTTAAAATATTCAAGATAAAATATATTACCTAATAACCTTAAGGAAATTCATCCACCCTCCGCAACAGTTTATCGAGGTGGATAAATTTGAAAATCACTTCAGCTCATAAAGAGTAAATGTCCAGTAAAGAATATCACAAGGATTCATACTCAAATTATTTCTTGCTAGTAAGGACGTGGCACATATTATCCAACCAGTAATATCATTGTCAAATATCACCACAGGTAAATGATTATGACAGGGTCCCTCTAACTGGGTGGTTTTTCCACCAAATGGTACTACTAAATTACATTCACCTCCATAGCTCGTATATTCCCCAATGGCTCTAAATCCTTGAATAATGAATCAATAGGGTATAATTGATAAGGTACAAAGCCCTTTATTAGCTAAGGTGAACTCAAATATGTTCATTTAAGCAAACATTTATCCCAAGTCTATAAGATACTCTTGTATGAAG